CTTAGAAACACCACAGAACTTCAAGTGAAAAAGCCATTTTTGAATTTACCCTGGTGTTGTTCCATTCTTTCCAAAATTCTCTTAGAAACACCACAGAACTTCAGGTGAACAAGCCATTTTTGAATTTACACTGGTGTTGTTCCATTCTTTCCAAAATTCTCTTAGAAACACCACAGAACTTCAAGTGAAAAAGTCATTTTTAAATTTACCCTGGTGTTGTTCCATTCTTTCCAACATTCTCTTAGAAACACCACAGAACTTCAGGTGAACAAACCATTTTTAAATTTACCCTGGTGTTGCTCCATTCTTTCCAACATTCTCTTAGAAACACCACAGAACTTTAGGTGAACAAGCCATTTTTAAATTTACTTTGGTGTTGTTCCATTCTTTCCAAAATTCTCTTAGAAACACCACAGAACTTCAGGTGAACAAGTAATTTTTGAATTTACCCTGGTGTTGCTCCATTCTTTCCAAAATTCTGTTAGAAACACCACAGAACTTCAGGTGAACAAGCCATTTTTGAATTTACCCTGGTGTTGTTCCATTCTTTCCAAAATTCTGTTAGAATGGTTTGTTCTGTTAGTGAACAAGCCATTTTTAAATTTACCCCGGTGTTGTTCCATTCTTTCCAACATTCTCTTAGAAACACCACAGAACTTCAAGTGAACAAGTAATTTTTGAATTTACCCTGGTGTTGTTTTATTCTTTCTAAAATTCTCTTAGAAACACCACAGAACTTCAGGTAAACAAGTAATTTTTAAATTTACCCTGGTGTTGTTTTATTCTTTCCAAAATTCACTTAGAAACACCACAGAACTTTAGGTGAACAATTAATTTTTAAATTTACCCTGGTGTTGTTCCATTCTTTCCAACATTCTCTTAGAAACACCACAGAACTTCAAGGGAACAAGCCATTTTTAAATTTACTTTGGTGTTGTTCCATTCTTTGCAAAATTCTCTTAGAAACACCACAGAACTTGAAGTGAACAAGTAATTTTTGAATTTACCCTGGTGTTGTTTCATTCTTTCCAAAATTCTCTTAGAAACACCACAGAACTTCAACTGAACAAATCATTTTTAAATTTACCCTGGTGTTGTTCCATTCTTTCCAAAACTCAGTTAGAAACACCACAGAACTTGAAGTGAAAAAGTCATTTTTGAATTTACCCTGGTGTTGTTCCATTCTTTCCAAAATTCTCTTAGAAACACCACAGAACTTCAGGTGCACAAGCCATTTTTAAATTTACCCTGGTGTTGTTCCATTCTTTCCAAAATTCTGTTAGAATGGTTTGTTCTGTTAGTGAACAAACCATTTTTAAATTTACCCTGGTGTTGTTCCATTCTTTGCAAAATTCTCTTAGAAACACCACAGAACTTCAAGTGAACAAGCCATTTTTAAATTTACCCTGGTGTTGTTCCATTCTTTCCAAAATTCTCTTAGAATCACCACAGAACTTGAAGGGAACAAGCCATTTTTAAATTGGCACGATGGTTTTTCAGCATTCAGGTCACCACTGAGGGTTCCAGAGAACTAAACTGGAATTTCCTTTGCTTTTGTTCACTTCCTTCCATGCTGGTGCAAGAAGCACCAAGGGAATCGAGTCTTGCCAAGTCCAGGTGTAATTTGAAGGTTTAAACATCTGTAACTACAATGTTTATGCCACATTTGACTCCTTTAAATAACTCTGCTTGCATCATGTCTCTCAGAAGTTGACTAATCCCCAGCTTGTCATTTCTGAAGCTACTTCAAGTGCTTAATTCTGATTTATATTTTAGTTCCCTTTATTGCTCAATAATGACAAAGTTTACTGGGTGAGTTTCCCCTTCCAAGCTTAACATACAGCTGTAAACTAAATTGTTACAGGGATCCTCTAAAATATTACAGGCACTCAGCATGGCTGACTTGAATTTTCACTCAGAGCTGAGATTTGACTTTGTTATGTATTAAAATGCAGTAATTTTATCCAAATTTACTCCAAATGCAGAATGAAGCTAAGAATTAGCACAGTAACATAACTCAGGTGATAGATCAGGAGTCAATTTCTTTAAAACAATTTTTTTTTATATTCTGGTACTTTGTGTCAGGTCACCCTCCTGTTCCAGGAACTCCCACCAAACGAACAGACTGTTCCAAATTCCACTGGAATCACAATTCACTGACATTAATGAAGATTTCAGGACCAGTCATGCTTTCAGCTCGTCCTAACTGAAAACATCTTCAGTAAGTGATGATTAACATCCTCCCACACAAAGTCTTCTCTCAAAGTGACTGTCATCTTCCACTAGTCTCAACAGCTCGGAGGCTGGAGTTACTTTAAAAAGAGATTTTAAGAATAATAATAATAAAAAAGAAACCAACCCACACACAGGATTCTACCTGGAGCAAAGCCAAGCTGCCATAAATAAGATAAAATAAATGAAAT